GGTCTTCGGTACAAAATCTGCCACGAAGATTTAGCTTCTAAAGACCACCGCTAAACCCACTCCTGTGATTTCGCCTTCACCCCAGAAGAAGATTGGAGGTTTTTGGTGGTCATTTGTGATGACATTTAGTAGGTCTCTATCAGGAAAATAGAACGGGAAATCCCACCTCTCTAAGTGAGATTTGATGAGACCACTCGTGAATATCTGGTGGGCTTAGTTGTCAAGGTAAATTGCCTTCAATTTTCTTTTTATTGCTTCTCATTCCCATACAGATTATGATAATAGCACTGATTATTGTTTGATAAAATCTGATAATGATGATGATAGGAGGAAGTTGCAACTTAAAGGGATACTCAAAATAGGTAATGATATTTGATACATAGCTTGCTGCTTGATGTTTGAATTCGAAGATATGAAAATTGTATTGGAAGATTTGCTGCTAGATTTCAGCAGATGTGGTTGTTATTAGAGAATTTCATTTTAGATGTCATGAGACTTTGAGTCTCCACTTTAGGAATTGAAAACTAGAAAACAGAAAGGATTTAGAAGTAAAATTTATTTAGGTCAAAGTACACTTACATTTGGTTGGAGGAAAAACTAATTAAAGTACTTTCAGGAGATGACCAGAAGACTATAATCCTAATACTCTGTATGTAAAATCATATCTGGAAACAAATACTGTTCTTCACAAATTCTAGATAATATAGTCTTTTGGGTTTGGGGAGAAGTAATAATGTAGCATACATAGTCTATTACCATATTTTCTGGGTTTAAGAACAAGGAATAATGTAGCATACATAGTCTATTAGCATATCTTTTGGGTTTGGGAGAAGTAATAGTGTTTTATAATTTGATATCAGACCTAAAAGTGGTCTGGATTGAAATAATTTTTTATTTGCGATGGTTACTCTGTTACTCTTGTCTGGAGATGAAATTTGCATTTTCTATAATATAGTTCTAACTTTTGCATGCTCTTATTGCTTACCACAGAAACTTCATGTAGGATGGGTTACAGCTTGGGATCTGGAGGTAAGTTTATTTATGGAAAATATCCTTTCATAGCAATTACGTATACATTCATTATATTGCTGATTTGCTGGCCTTTAATTGTGTTAAGATATCTATTTTCTTCCTCTGAAATCTCAGTCTAAGATTCCTGCCATTTGAGACAACTAATGGCGAGCAGCAGTCGGCAAGCAAGTTTTACAAACTGTACATTGTAAGTTTATTACATGTAGGACTTTTAAAATGAAATTCATGATGTTTTTTGGATCTGTTACCAAATTTCTATTTGCTAAATGCTTTTCCAAGTATGCTTTAAATTCTATGGATCATGGTGCTACAGAGTATATGCATAGCTGATGTTGGATTATAGCTATATATTTGCTGACACACACACACATATTTTATATTTTACATACATGTTTGATTTTCTGTATGCAGTGTTGTTTTTTGAGAGATAGTGTATTATTGTTGTAAACTCGAATATGGTGTTTTATAATATTTGAACTTGTGAGTTTGTGAAGCTATGCATATGAAATTAATGAAAATGTGATTTTCTTATTGTAGAATTTGCTATAATTAATCGATGGGTATATTTCTAATACCAATATTGGTCTTCTGAAAGGTCCGATGAAGAATATGTCCAGGTAAAACATTTTAGTATTTGTTCAAATGATATGATGGCAAATCAATGTACTAGTTTTGAATTTTACTATTATGACACACCTCTAGAACAAGTTAGGTGGTATGGTGCACCTTAATTCATTACTTCTACTTCGTATGTGTTATAAAGTGATTGTGTTTAATATTTTCTTTGTGTAGGAAAGTACAGATGATCAACCAAAATGTGCGTTATTTCTAGGAAACTGGCTTGGAGAAAGTTGTTTTTCTTAGGAAACTGGCATCGAGAAAGTCGCTACATATGAGTCGCCTAAATATGTTAAAAGATAATCTCCAGCTTGTAATATGTTCGAGCACTGAACCATACTCATGTTATAGGAGCAGTTTGTATGAAAATTTGATGATTAAATAATTTGAATGATGAGTTTTGTTGGAGTTATATGAGTTGCTGTGATGTTTTGGTTCGCCTTTTATGTATGGGAAGTATATTATATTTATCATATATGATGAAGGATAAACAAATCAATATTTAGTTAAGTAATGCTAACAAAGTTAAAATTATTAGTATATACGGAGTATTATTTTAATGAAAGGGTAAATTGTTGCAAATACGTAAATTTGTATTAGCGAAGGGATACTGGTGACAATTGCTCTTAAAAAGTGGTCTTTAATAATATCATTTGCGGCCACATTATGCTTGGTCCCTAAATGATTTAGCGACCGACCTCTTTTCTTGGTCGCGAATTGTCTTTTGCGGCTAAGCCTATAGGGACCAACGCGCGACCACTTTTTTCGGTCGCAAATAGTCATTAGCGACTGCTTTTTATGTTTTTGCGACCAATTTTCCCTTCCCTAAAAGGCTTTTTTCTTGTATCCGGAAATGGGTGTCGGTCGAATTTCACGGCTAGCAACACGTTCACGAACGAAATAACAATCCATCTCGACGTGTTTTGTGCGTTCATGGTAGACTGGATTGGTGGCGATGTGACGGGCCGCCTGATTATCACAGAATAATGGTGTAGGTGCAGAGGCCGAGACTTCAAAGTCCCGTAACAGCCATCGCAACCAAATGACTTCACTAACAGCAACAGCCATGGAACGATACTCTGCTTTCTGCTGATGAGCGTGACACGACAGATTGCTTTTTTGTTCGCCGGGATATGGGTGAGCCACCTAAAGTGATAAAATAGCCAGAGCTGGAGCGTCGAGTAAATGAACAACCGGCCCAATCAGCATCGCAGTAGCTTTCTAAAATAAAGTTATCATGTGAGGAGAGGAAAAGGCCCATCCCTGCTGTTGCCTTAAGATAGCGAAGTACGCGGTGAACGGCATCTAAATGACTTTGTCGTGGATGGGAGATGAATTGACTTAAGTGATTGACAGAGAAAACAATGTCAGGCCGCGTGACAGTGAGATACAAAAGACGACCAATTAATCGTCGATACACAGCAGCATCAACAGGAGGACTGGAATCATCAGGACGCAACTTGAGATTTTGTTCCATCGGGAAAGGGCTCGGCCTACTACCAAGCATGCCTGTTTCTTGTAATATGTCTAAGATGTATTTTCGTTGGCTAAGAAAGAAGCCAGTAGGAGAACGAGCGACTTCAATGCCTAGGAAATACTTGACAAGCCCCAGATCTTTTATGGAGAATTGATCATTAAGATAATTCTTCACTTCAGTGATGTGAGCAATATTGTTGCCAGTAAGAATGACATCGTCAACATAAATGAGAGCGGCAGTGTAAGTATCTCCCCGTCGATGGATGAAAAGCGAATGATCCGCTCTGGACTGACGAAAACCAATGAGTGTAAGGGCATGAGTGAACTTTTGATACCAATTGCGTGAGGCTTGACGTAACCCGTATAAGGATTTTTGTAATTTACAGACACGGGTATCGCCCCTTTTGGCGAAACCTTGTGGGATACGCACATATACGTCCTCGTGTAGGTCACCATGTAAGAAGGCGTTGTTTACGTCTAACTGGTGAACAACCCATTTTCGTTTGACAGCGATCGCGAGCAGGCACCGAACAGTAACCAATTTGGCAACAGGGGCGAAAGTTTCGTGAAAGTCAATGCCCTCAACTTGTGTGAATCCTTTTGCCACAAGACGCGCCTTATACCTTTCAATGTCTCCATTGGGCTTGTATTTAATTTTATAGACCCACTTGGATTCAACAATTTTCTTCCCAGGAGGTAATGGGACCAAAACCCACGTCCCATTAGCTTCAAGTGCTTGTATTTCTTTCTGCATAGCCTCCCGCCATAATGGATCCTGAACAGCTTGAGAGAAAAATTTGGGCTCATCACGTGATGTGATGGCTGCTAAGAAAGCACGGTGAGCGGGAGAAAATTTTTTATAAGAGAGAAATTGAGTGAGAGGATATACCGTCGAGTGTGCTGAATTGGAGGCGGGTGTCGAGTGAGAAAGAGAGGGTGGCAATGTAGTATCATAGTTCTCCAGATGCTGGGGCTGACGACGTACCCGATTACTCCTCCGTGGACCCAAAACCATATCATCTGTGGTGGATTGAGATGTGGATTCTGCCGTGGTGTTGGGCATTAATGCTTCTTCAGAGGGCATGTCACTTCCTGGAGATAATGTATGAGGAGGTGGAGAGCTACGTATCACAGGAGGTGATGATTGTTGCATACTAGGAAATGCTTCAGTATCTTGGATGCGTGCAAGTGCCAATGGAATAGCAACTTCAAGGGACTCGGCGGCCATAGGAGATACACTTTTGAAAGGAAAGATATCCTCAAAAAAGGTAACATCTCTAGAGCTGTATGTCTTATGAGTCTGTAAATCAAAAACTTTATAGGCCTTTTGCCCGTTAGGATAGCCTATAAAAATGCAAGGGCTCCCCCTTTCATCAAATTTGCCTTTTCGCTTGTTATCATGAGCGTAAACAAGGCATCCAAAAATGCGAAAATGCTTATAATCTGGCTCTCTGTTAAAAAGCAACTCGAAAGGGGTTTTGTTAGAAATAACAGACGTAGGTAATCTGTTGATGATGTAAACGGCCGTAAGGATGCATTCCCCCCAAAATTCAATAGGTAAACCTGCTTGAAAGCGCAAGGCTCTTGCCACCTCAAGAATGTGTCGATGCTTCCGTTCCACAACACCATTCTGTTGTGGAGTATCTGTGCATGATGTCTCCAAAACAATTCCATTATGGCTATAAAAATCTAGTAGGACATGAGACTGGAACTCAACGCCGTTGTCAGTGCGAATACGCTTGACTGGATGGTCAAATTGGGTTCGAATCATATTACAAAAATGCATCAAAAATTGTCCCACGTCAGATTTGGAGACCATAAGATAAACCCATACACTTCGGGTGTAGTCATCAACAATGGAAAGAAAGTAATGTGCACCAGTGAGGGAAGGGCATTTATATCCACCCCAAATATCACAATGAATTAAGTCAAAACTTTGTTGTGTTTTTATTGAACTATTTGGGAAAGGAAGACGAGTTTGCTTAGCTCGAACACAAGAATCACAAAAAGAAATACTTTTCTTTGAACCTTGCAAAAAAACAATGTGACGAAGCTTGTCATCAGAAGCATGTCCCAAACGTCTGTGCCAAACTTCATATTGTGAAGAAACCATCATTGCCACCCGTTCACTGCTTGAAGGCTCCAAGTAATATAAACCGCCATGACACCTACCCACCCCAATCAGCTTCCTCGAGGGTAAGTCCTGCATCACACAAAAATCCCCGAAAAAGATAAGTACACAATTATTTTCTTGGGTGAGCCGGCTGACGGATAATAGATTGCATCGGAAGGAAGGTATGTAAAGAACGCGTGATAAAATTAACCCATTTGGCAACTGTGTGCTGCCAATGGAGTGTACTGGTACTACATCACCATTGGGAATTCGGACAGGAGATTCTGAAGGATTTGCCATTATATCAGTCAGTAATCTATCATCACATGTAATGTGTTCGGATGCGCCCGAATCGATTATCCATGGTGAGTCGAACCTTCCTGTTCCTGCCATATTGACCTGCATGTTATGGGAATTTTGAGAAGTGGGTCCCTGCTTATCAAATTCGGTGCGCATAAATTGCGCTAGGCGCTGCAATTGATCAGTGGATAGGCCTGCCAGCTGTTCGCTACTGTCCACATGTGCGGCCTTAGGCGCTCCACTGCCTCTTCTGCCGCGGTCGGTGCTACGTGAGTTGCGGTCAGTTGATCGCCCTTCTCCAGTGCGTGGCATTTGTTGCTTCTGTTCCTTGCCACGTAGATTCCAATTAGATGGGTAACCCACGATCTCAAAATAGGAATCAACGGTGTGGTTTGTTCGGCCACAGTGCGTGCAGAGCTTTCCACCAAGCAGTTTTTTATTTGGGTCAAAAGCTGTTTTGACCTGCGCTTGGAAGGCTGCGTTTTCAACACCTGTCTTCCTTGTTGTGACAATATTGCGGTGATGTTCTGCTTCTGAGATTAAGTGGTACGCTGCGGTTAAAGTAGGGATGGGACGAGTGGCTAAAATATGACTTTTGAGAGGTCCGTAATATTCATCTAGACCCATTAAGAAATCGTACAAGTGATCTCTATCTCGAGCTTCATTGTAATGTTTTGTGAGATTACACGTACACTTCCCACAATTGCAACTTGGCGCCTTAGAAATTGAAGCCATCTCATCCCAAATTCGTCGGAGCCGGCTAAAATATGCCGACACAGACTGCCCCTCCTGTCGAACGGCCCCAAGAGCACACCGTAATTCATATGCCCGGGGTGCACTCTCCTTACCGAACCGTTCGTCAAGGTCGACCCATATTTCGCGTGCCGTTTTAAACTTGACACTTTGGCGTAATTCGAGCTCCATACTGCTGTTTAGCCAAGCTTTCACCATTGCGTTTGCCCTCTGCCAATACGGTAAATAAGGGGAATTGCTTGCCGGCATAGGAATATCACCATTGACAAAACCAATTTTATTTTTGGCATACAGAGCGTTACTCATTTCATCGAGCCAGTCTCCGTAATTGCCGTCACGTAAAAGAGAAGTAACGAAGACATCACCGGGTTTATCACCGGATTGAATAAAGTAAGGCGACATGCAGTCAATGGTCAAGGTAGCGCCATTGCCGCTGTTTTCATCACCAACTGCCATCTCCGTGAGGTATGGCTGTTTTGTCGATTAATCTAAAATAGCCAGGATTTCGGCTCTGATACCATATTAAATAAAGAATAAAATGAAAGAAACATAGAATTAGACGTGCGCATAAGAAGAAGAGAACTTGTATATTAGGTCTATGAATGCATACTGGACGATGGTATATTATATATACGGGTACATGGATACTCATAAAGAAAGTAATAAAATAAGAAAGCATAAAAACGTGGGATTGCATGTAGTATCTTTGCTTCCCATAAATAACTCAAACGGCATGATTTGCATGATTTGATTCGCACCATGAGTGCATGGTTTGATACGCATCATCAAAAAATGATCCTAGAATTAAAATAAAGAACCAGAACCACTTCATCACTTTTACCCAAACACTACCACTCTTGCTTCTGCTCCCTGAGCAGAAACAGTGTTAAGAATTAGATCCAAACAACCCCTTTAGAAACTTTCAGGATTTCATTAATTACTTGAACTTGTTTGAAATCAGGCGATTTTGACCTTTTATGTGCGCGTTTAGCTAGCTGGAGAAGACGAGAAATATATACAATGAAAATGATAAGAAAGGTGTTCGGATCAGGAATAGAAATGACAGAGACTCATGTACGGTTTGCAAACGATTTTGCTTTAAAAAATCACTGCTTAAATGATTTCAGAAAAAAACGATTAATACTAAAAGTTGATAGTGTTTGACAAAAATTGATTTTGAAAAATAATATTCTTTGATAAAATTTGTATTTTTTGTGTAATAGGAAAAGTAAAGTGCAGATTCTAGATTTTAAACTTGTAAGTGTTTAATTTAGAAGAATTTGACCTTGAAAATACTCTTTTCAATTTTTTTAGGCCAAAAGTTGAAAGTCACTTTTTTATTTAATATTTTTCAAACATACCCTCAGAGGAGTTGGAGAGGGCCTCGAGCCCCATTTTTTATATACATATATATGAATAAATATTTATAAGTAATATAAATTGTTTTGTATTTTTGAGTCCTCAGATCACCTCCAAGGCTCCAACATAATTTTTTTTTTATTTTTCAGCCCTTTAAGTGGCATTGGGGAAAGATAGAGATATGATGATTATTTTAATTTAATATGGAGAAAGTGGTGTGTATGGAAAATGAAAAGGAAGAGAAAGGTAAGAGTAAATTGTAGACAATGTCTATAACAATGTCCACTTTTACACGAGAATCGAGGAGCAAAAATGAATGAAAAGTGGGTTAGAAGTGATATATAAAAATGAAAATGAAAATAAATATGGAGATATGTAGGTCCTACACATAAAATTTGTGAGAGAAAAAATAGGACTCATTCTTTAGAGTGTGTAAGACCATAGACATTCCATTGGAGATGTTCTAATATGGCATTTCTGGGCTCTGGCTCCAACACTGAAATCCTTCCCATAAGTCATGGTTGATGTGACTAATGAGACTAGGAGGGTGCCTTGCGCATCAGACGGGAGGGGAGCGGCCAACACGACCCCGAGATTGGCGAAAAAGTGGAGCCCAAGATCTCCGACCGTTGAATTGTCGATCGGACACGACCGGGAGGAAGCAAGGCACTCTACCTTACTCTAAAGTAAGGTAGAGGCTCCGGATCCATTGTGGTGTATAAAGTAAATAGAGCTTACTTGGAGTACTAGTAATAGATTATTGTTGTTTTAAATTTGAATTTCGGTGAAAAAAGTTCACATCTTATACTCTGTAGTATTTTTGTAAATGAAGTCTACTTTTTTTTTTGTAAATGAAGTGTATATACGTGTTTTAGAACTTTAAAGGTTCTTTCCAATGATATAAAGGCATTTTAAAACAGATTAAATTAAACTATTAAAGTAAGATATAATAAAATCAAACACTTGTATTTTTGGATAGAGCCTTTTGCAGTAAAAAAGAGTGTTGTTTTTTAATTTTGTTGAAAAAGTATGTACCCAACTACCCATCCCATAATTATAAATATATATAAATGAAGTATGTTGATCAATACGAGTTTTGAACTTTAAAGGACCTTGAATTTACCAAACATTAAATTGTGAATATGCATTATTACACTAAAATAGGAGTGATTATTTTCATTCTAAAAATATTGTCATATTATAACAATAATATTGTCATATTAATGGCTAACAATGCTATAATATGAGTATATGACAACAATAGTGTAATATGAATGTCTGATTATGTTATACAAAATAATACGGAGTATGAAAATGTGATTACAATTGACAGTACTCAATTCTTATATCGGAGAAGATAGTCTTTTATTCTTTTAATCAAGAGAAATCACAATAATCTTACTTTGGGAAATTTTCCGATAAGATTGAGCATGTGTACATCGCTATTCACTAATGCACTATTATGATTATGTTTAGAGTTTGGATCACATGCATCCAACATATTTTTCTAATTATTACTAAATATTCTGTTTATAGTTTCAGTTTGCCATTAGTGTACGACATATTATGTACCAATACCTCACAAGTTCATATCCATCAGTCACGTGTGTCTCGCATGTGCCCAGCCACTGGCTAACAACCATAAGAGTTGGGTTGGAAATGTTTCAAAATTAGTTGTAACTCTGGCTGGAATCAATTGTACCTACAGACATTATACGAAGTATTATTAGAAGAAAGAACTGAAGAAGAGGAAGAATAATGACAGCTGCCGGCATGTTGTTTATAGTTTATTTCGTTAACCACTTGGCAATAATAGATGTATTGACCCCGATTAGACTTCTACAAGGTTCACTAAGCATGTTTTCTTTTGAACTCAAATTTGCTGGTCTGATCTGATCTGGTCTGATCTGAACTGGTCTGGTATGGTAAACGTCTGATCTATATGTATTTTATAACTATGGAAGTCAAGTCTGGTCTAGTATGGTCTGATCTGATCTGATCTGGTCTGGTCTGGTCTGGTCTGGGACTGAAAACAATCCAAAAAAACATAAGGGTGGAATTATAAATTCGAGATTTTATCAGGTAGGCATATAAAGCTTGAACGATTATTCCCATGAGACATTCTACTTTTGACGTTCTTACTAAAATTATACGGAGTAATGTGTCATTTATTGTATGCTTTAACTTTTCGAATAGATCATGTACTTTAACAAATGATTTAATATTATATATGAAAGCGTGACTGTAAGGTAAAATGCATAAACGATAGCTTAAATTTTGAGGGTGTTTGATAAACAATGTTTCAGCCAAAAAATGGTGATTTGACTATTTTTAGCGTTTTCAAAGAGAGAAAAAGTTGTTTGGTAAATAGTTGTTCGACACTAGTGTTTTTGGAAGAAAACGTTGAAATGAAAACGCTACTAATAGGAGAGTTTAGGGTTGAGTTTTTGAAAATGGTGTCTGCTACAATTTTTATGCCCAAACAGCTAAATTACCAAACATCTTCTGACAATCCGTCAATTTATTCCGCTAGTCAAACGCGCTAATTGAATCCGTTATTGATAACCAACTAACATAACCCGCTATCCGTTGAATTCCAAACACGGCCATTGATATTATTGTAGGAAAATTACCCTAAATAGGACTAAAAACATTTGTATATTCCAAAATAAGATTATCAAGTTTTTATTCCCAAAATAGGACTAATTACTGCCATGTTTTGGCAGTATCAGACTTTAAACATGACAGTATTTTACAAACTTGACAGTAATTACTCTTATTTTGGGAATAAAAACATAACAATCTTATTTTGGAAATTTCAAAATTTTTATTCCTATATCGAGAATTTTCCCTATTATTGTAGGTTGCATTGAATGCATAAGCATTAGAAAAGTTTGAAATATGAGACAATCGGGTGAGAAGTGGGAGTAACACTAGTTGAAAATAAGATGCACGACGGTATAATCTCACATTTGCGCTGCATCTTCTTTCTCTGGTCCCTATCGATTGATGACTTGCTGTTCCAATTTTATTTTCCTTTTATTCGCAAATAATTAAAAAAATAAGTTTCATCTTCTACATATCTTCTCAAAATGGCCCCACATGTGATTTTTCTTTTTTCTTCCTAAAAGTTTTTTCCTTTTGCTTTACCTTCACAATGCTTTTTCCTCTTTTCTTCCTTTTTTCCTTTATCCATTTATCATAAGTTTTTTTAAGAAAATTTTCTTTTGATAGTTTTTCATTTTTTAATCTCCTACATTTTTATTTTCTTTCATTTTTTATGTATTCCAATTTGTCATAGTCTTTTTTATAACTATTTTCCGGCTACTTGTTATATTTTTCTTTGATTTTTTCAAAAAAGTGAAAAAGTATATTAGTGGTGGAATGAAGGTAAGAAAAGGAAAAAAGAAATTAATAAGTGAAAATAAAAAAGAAAGTAAAGTAAAAAACTAGCAGGGTGAGAAAAACATCTTATATAAGAAGAGAACTAATCCCAAAAATATATAAAAATGGAAATGAAATAATAAACGAAAATGAAAGTTCCTATTAATCCAACAATCAGATATATAAAACAAGAATACAAAAGATTAAAGATTGGATTCAATACCCACAAAGATATGGCGATGAACGCATAGGGGATCGGAAACAGCGGCTCTGCCTTCCCTCTACAATGTGTGGATGCAGATACAATGCTTAGCCAAAACTTATTGATCTGCTCAATCAGTCTGGGATGCATACACATATGCGTTTGATATCCCAGTACAATGCAAAAGATTGTGAGCCGACATTTACGAAAGTGACACACCACTTTAATTTCCTATTATTAGTTAAACAATTAAATACATACTCCCTCTGTCCCTAAATTTACTTCCATTTCGCTTTTCGAGAGTCAACTTAAATCACTCTTAAACTCTTACTTTTTGTATCAAAACTTTATGAAAATTGATTTTTTTTGTGCAGGCTTTGTAGCGGGTTTAATGTAGTTTCTGAATATGTAAATTTTATTTACTAAAAATAATCCGAGTTTTCACAGGGATCATTTAACTTTATCGTCGGTCAACCTTCGTAATCCGCAATCGGAAGAACATTCAGGGACGGAGGGAGTAATAAATACTAAATGCGCTAAATAAATACAAGGCCCGATAGCTAAATAAAATACAAAAATTGTAACACCGTCCCCAAATATATTTACTTCTATGTAAATAATGTATTGAACCTTATTAAAGGATTAATGAATTTAC